ATATTAAAACTAGTTTTTATAAAATTAGTATCTATGAACGTGTGTTGCACGTTAATAATGGTATCTGATGATTTAAACATTTATTTATATGAAAGAACCATAAAATTATATTAATGAGAAAAGTTTTATGTATAATAATACAACAATCAGTAAATGCCAAAAAATATTATCACATTAGCATAATACATGAATTAAAATAAAAGGACATCATCAAAACTTACACAAATGATCAATTTTGAAATGTTAGTTATATAATTATGTATTATAGTTTAAAAGTATTTAATGTGATGGTATCTTAACGAACACTTCTTTATGGACAATATTTTTTTGTGTATGTTTCCTCCTAATGCTTTGGTTGTTATGCCTTAACCAAAACTCTAGTTGTCGATCTTGATATCCCTCTTGAAAGTGCAACATACAGTTGTTCGTGCAAGAAAATATATTACGGTAAATATAGTCCAATATTTAGTATGTTTGTCCTTGTGCTTTATTTATTATGTTTGCATAACATAAACATACTAAAAATTATTTTCACACAAATTAAATCAGATATTCCTTAGTTTCGAAAGACGAAAGTTGAATTCATGGATAAGAATATACTTAGAAGCACATTGACCAGTATCATAATTTTTGCATGTAAGACGTTGTTGTCAAAACTTCAATATACCATCCGTGTACTATTGCATAAGCTATTAGATGTATCTAAATTTTTCAGCAGCACAACAAGCATATTTTTCTTCAAAATCAGCCTATATACAATGGAAGATCAATTTTAGCTTAGTCTATTATATATACGGTGACACTAACATATGTAAGACATAATAAACTTGACAAATAAACATATATGGTAGAAGATCATTTGATATTAAAGTATTTAAGTATTCTTCTTGGTAGTAATTATTGGTATCATTTTCTGCTGAGTCAAAAACAGAAAAATATTTTGTTTTTACTATAAATTTTTTTAATCAACCTTTTATTTAGTTGATCAACATATTCGTTTCTGGCTTTCTGCTAGCTTAGATATCTTTTTAATTCTATCATGCGATTTGCACAAATTGCGTTTTAATCTAATAATAAAAATATTTCTCTTATTAAATGCACCACTATTATCATTGGGATTGATAACCAAGTGTTTAGGAAGAACAAAATCTTTTTTTATTGGATGTTCTTCTTCGTTTCCGACACGAAGCAAGAAGACACTGAATATTGGATTTGTTCTTACTTTATATTTCTTGTCAGTTGAATCTTTTTCATTTGAGGACAGAAGTATAACTTTGGCAAGCTAGCTTTTACAGTCTCTGCTTTTGTCGATTTTGGAACTATTAGTAGTACTTGACATAAATTACCTCTCAAACCATTGATCTCCACCAAAGGGTTCATTAATATTTAATATATCTCTAGAACTCCGAGCAATTATTTCGATCGTTTGACACTTAGCCATAAGTGCTTCATCCCATATTATCAATTTTATTTTTCTTATAAATTTAGCACAATTGCTCTGCTTTGATATATTTGTGATGGTTATTTAAGTTATTTGAAGAGGTATATCTGATCTAAAGTGGGTGGCCTCATAATAAAATTATTGTTGGTATATCACTTGCTATTATTGCTAACAATGAGCCTCTTGATATGATATTTGCAAATAATGCATGACATAGAAATATTATTTTGATTCTGTCGGAGGCATCTACAAAGAATAATCCTGTTATAGCAGAGTCGACTCTTTATAATATAGTCTTAAAAGCTTGTTCTTGTTTAGGATTTAGCTTTGATTGTGCTTCCTCAGATACTGATATAGCATTTTTATTCTTAATAATATGCTAACCTTTTTACTTTGTGTTCCAACGCTCTTTTTATGGAATAAATTTATGTACCCTAATATTTTTTTTAACTTGAATAAGAATTTTACTCATATGATAAATTTAAAAAATAATTGAATTGGATTATCTTTCTAAATAATTAATTAAAAAATTAATTATTTGGTTTAAACATAAAAATTAATCTATTCTATGTTGATTCATATCTTAATATTAGTTCTTCTCTTGTTTTGAATATTTAATCTTAATTATACTTTTATTCACCATAAATTTTATTTTCAAAGAGTAAAAGATTGATATAACATTTCACTTTAAATCTTTATGTCAGTAGAATCATTAGTGGTATTGACTCTAACCAACCATTTTTTTTTCTTTCTCACACATTTATATTCTTAAATATTTTTTTAGTTGTTGTCTAATAATTGAGTATTTTTTATTATTACACAAAAAATGATAAAAAATATTATTTGAGTAGGAAAATAGTTCAAATATAATATAAAAATATATTATCGTGGGGATTTATTTTCTCTCAATTTCAACTCTTTATGCAATCCATTTAATATTACTTTTATACTTTTTGATATTGGACATTATGGAGTGGTAATGTATTGTCAATACGGAGGATTCTTATGAAATTAATTTTATTAAACCTTCCTATACATTTTTAATAAGAATTTAATAGATAAAATTTTATTAATTTTAAAATCTTAAATATTAAAAATTAGCATAAAAGGTATTGTAGTCCAAAAAATAGTTAATTGCAGTTATGTCCTTTCCCTATGAGTTCTTCAGTTTAATATTTTAGGGCTATTTTGGTATATTAATATTGTATTTATGCTTTTATAATAATATAGGCTCTCCTATTTTTTAAATTAATTTGGACAATATAATACATTCTCAAATTAAATTAATAATAGGATATTATAATATGTTTTCAAATTAAATTAGTAATAATTTTTTTTTAAGAAGTATGTCCTAAAAGTAATAGGATTACATGAATACTGATATTTACTTATTCAATTTTATATGAATTAGACAGCCCGAAAGTAATTATACTAATAGGATTCCTAAAAGTAATCATATAGGATTCCTGACATGTAGTATTATGTTCTAAATCTAATAGGATTATAAGGCTAATATCTAGAATTCCGGTTATGTCCGTTTATTATGAGTTATTATGCGTAATATTATAAGGTTATTTTTATAAATCGATTTTGTATTCATGTTTTTATAATAATATAGATAGATAGATAGATAGATAGATAGATAGATAGATAAATAGATAGATAGATAGAGATAGATCGGATAAGGGTCTGATTTGCCCCTCTACTATCATAATTAGGCCTTAGATAGATAGATAGATAGATAGATAGATAGATAGATAGATAGATAGACAGACAGACAGATAAATAGATAGATAGAGATAGATCGGATAAGGGTCTGATTTGCCCCTCTACTATCATAATTAGGCCTTATTTATCCTCTATTTAAATTTTCTATCAAAAATATCCTTACCGCTATACATTAGGTTCACATTTACCCCTTACACGTTAAAACGGATTACTTTTGCCCTTCGTTATACTTTAGGATCATATTTACCCCTCTACTCTTCAAAAAAGGTTACATTTGCCATTCGTTATACTTTCTTGACATATTTATCCTTACAATTATACTTTAGGATCATATTTGCCTCTCATCCGTTAGATCGCCATGCCCCACCTTTGTTTTCCTACATGGCGCTTATGTAATTTTTTTTCTTCCAATTTAAATATGGTCACCTATTTAAGATAATTTAATCCGCCCACCCAATTNATCTTTGTCTATGATAATTTGTTTCCCTTTAATACTTAGGAGTTAGGAGACATGAATCACTCAATGATGTTTTGAAGTGTTTGTAGAGATACAACTCTGTAAAGTCTAAACTGGGTCAATTGACCATGATTGATCCACGAAAAGTAATTTTTCGATACGACATTTACGAAGATTGTGCGAAATACAATAGGTATAGCAGCGGCAATATATTGGCAAATAATAACATTGAACGCAAAATTACTAATCTAATATAACTCACAATTATTGCAGTAACCAAAGTAAATTACGAGAAGTTGCGCAACAATGGAGTTAATGAAGTCTTATTTAAATTGGGTGGGCCGGTTAAATTATCTTAAATAGGTGACCATATTTAAATTGAAAGAAAAAGAAATCCACATTGGCACCATGTAGAAAAACAAAGGTGGGACATGACGATCTAACGGATGAGAGGCAAATATGATCCTAAAGTATAATTGTAAGGATAAATATGTCAAGAAAGTATAACGAAGGGCAAATATAATCCCTTTTGAAGAGTAGAGGGGTAAATATGATCCTAAAGTATAATTGTAAGGATAAATATGTCAAGAAAGTATAACGAAGGGCAAATATAATCCCTTTTGAAGAGTAGAGGGGTAAATATGATCCTAAAGTATAACGAAGGGCAAATATAACCCGTTTTAACGTGTAAGGGGTAAATATGAACCTAATATATAACAGTAAGGATAGTTTTGATAGAAAATTTAAACGGAGGGTAAATAAGGTCTATTTATAATAATAGATGGGCAAATCAGACCCTTATCCATAGATAGATAGATTAGGTCGCTTTTGGACCACCATCATAATTGGGTCAAATTCTTGCTGTTTAGATTGTCGTTGCCGTTTAGACAATGTATTGGGCTCAACAGATTTAGGCCTGTAATAACGTATTTTGCTGAGAACAAAAAGTGATGAAGCGAAATAAAATACACCGTTGCCTATACTAATAGAAAATCTAATATGTTCCTAAAGGTATTAGGTATACATGCTAACATGTAGTATTATATATCTATACTCGAAAATAATTATACTAATAGAATTTCTAAAGGTAATTATATAAGATTACTAATGTGTAGTATTATGTCCTAAAACTAATAGAATTACAAGACTAATGTTTAGAATTCCAATTATGTCATTTTATTGTGAGTTATTATGCTTAAGATTAAAATATTATTTTTGTAATCCAATATTTTATTCATACTTTTATAATAATATAGATAAAAAATCTATCCTAATTATCGGTACGGTTATAAATTTATATAAAAACTATTATTTTTTTAAAATGAAACCTAAAAATCCGTTGGTTGTCATACGGTTCGGTAGGTTCGGTTTTCGAATATCAATTTACAAGTTTATGAAAACTGCTTTTGGTTCCGTCTATGTGTCGGCCGGAGTAAGATCTGGTTTTCTCTCTTTTCCTTATATTTCTTGAACACTCCGTTAGTTTCCGAACTTCCGAGTGAAAAAGAGCAATTTTGTTGAAGTGCATCTTTGTTCTTTCAATCGAAAAAGATCAATCTTCTTTGTTCTGCTCCTTTCCTTCCCAGGTAAGTATATTTCAGTTTTAATTTCTTCTCAAATCTATATATTAGTCTTCTGCTCTTCCCCCTTGTACCTTGAGCTCCTTTTTCCCTTATTCTTTTTAAAAATCACACACACACACACACCCCTCTACACGAATAGACAGTAATCAAGACTCCTCTTTTCCCCCACCTATTTGTACTTGTAATCCAAATTTCTGTAATCAAGACTCCTTTTTTCCCCACCTATTTTGTTTTGAGACTTGAGAGTAGTGATTGACTCTGGTGGTTGGAAGAAGAAAGAAAAATATAAACTTTTATCTCATTCCGTTAATTGTTGTGCTGCAGGAGACTCTCATGGCGAAAAGACCGCAGCTTTCCAATAATTTTGCTCTAAAGAAGGTAAATCCTACTACAAGACTTGTGCTACTATTCTTTTCTCATTGATTGGTTTGATGAAACTGCTTTTCTTTTCTAATTTTCTAGTGTTCAAGACGAGCTTGCACTGCAGAGGATCGCATTAGTCAGTTGCCTGATGATATTCTGGTACATATATTGTCTTTCCTTAGCGTTAAGGAAGCAGCAGACACCAGTGTCCTCTCCAAGCGGTGGTTACCCTTGTGGAGATTTGTTCCTCGGCTTGATTTTGATGCTACCAAACAATTGGATGAAGTAGCAGTGGATCAAAAGCTTCAGAAAAGGTACATGAAGAAGTATGTGAGATGGGTCAACCGTACTTTGCGAATGTGTAAAGCTCAAAGATTAGACCAATTTCGTGTTCGTTTTGACTTAAACGCACTTGCCCAGCATGAGATTGACAAGTGGCTTGAGTTTGCCTTTGCTAGGCAAGTTCAAAGGCTAGAGTTAGACTTGTTAGAAGGTGGGGAGAGGATTCAAGCTTCAGATTATTGCTATACGTTTCCAGCGCAGCTCCTTGGTCTCAATCATTATGCTGGTCAGCCTCTGTCAAACAATGTCCACAAGTTGCCACCTCTTTGGCATAATTTTAAGTCTGTAAAGGTACTGTTATTTAAGTCAGTACATGTGACAGGTGAAGTTCTTGAGTTCTTCCTGCACAATTGTCCATTTGTTGAAGAAATGGTAGTTCATGGATCTGAAACGCTGGTTAATTTGGAAGTTGTTGGTCCTTCCCTCAAGTTGAAACACTTGGAGATATGGTTCTGCCTTGATTTAAAATCACTTAAAATTTGTGATACAAACATCGTAACACTTAGGACTTCATCAGCCCACAAATTATTGCTTTCAAATGTTCCAATGCTGATTGAGGTAGACGTTGGGGGTCACCCGTTCCGGCATATTTTGGATACCATAGTGCCTTGGGGTTCCTGCATACTCTCTCAGCTGGAGGTCCTTAAAATACATGCTTATGGGGGATTGGTCAGTGTACAAAAATTTGAAATGTCAATATACCTTTACTTTGCTTGTACTAACTGGTGTGTTTTAAATATTTCCCAGGAGTACTTGGAGCATTACAAGTTTCCTGAACTCACCAAGCTCAAGAAATTTGTCGTAGAAGTTTTAGCAAAGGAAGACATGAGTGTCTTAGGTTGCACACATGTCATAGGGGCTGCTCCACAGTTGAAGGAATTTGAGTTGAAGGTAAGTGTCAAGTCTGATTTGATCATTTCGAGTTCTGGTTCAAGAAATTAGTGCTGATTTTGCTTGTATACTGTGATTGAGTTACATCACACGTCAAGCTTGAATAAAATAGGTTATGACAATCTGGACCTGAATGTGTGTTACTTAATAGGTGCTGTCTCTTTGAAGAGGGAAGTTGACCCTTTTTTATTTAGTAAAATGGTGAAATAGAAAAAGTATAGTAAAAATTTAATAGAACCCTTTTTTGTTCATGGGTACTTTCACTGTCTTCGGCTATTTCTTTGGTAAACCTATTTCAATTTTGAAAGTTCCCAGTGGATTCCAATGCCATCTCAAGTTTTCAATGCATATGAACCTGGTATGGGATTAACCAAGTAATCAGTTTTATCCGTTCTGCAGCCTATTTGATAGGATCCTTTAATAGAACTTTCAATTTGATATGAAGTAGTAAACATCTAATTCGACGATTATTTCTTTTCCAGCACGTTAGACATTTCTTTCCGTGGTTTAATTTTCTTATATGGCATGCAGTTATTATGGGTCCTCCCCTTGAGGTCAGAAAGAGAGTGTAGGAAGGCTGTAAGATGTCCACTCCATCACCTCAAAGTGCTCAGATTGTCTGGATATTATGGCCGTACTAGTGAAGTTGAACTCGTTAGGTATTTTCTGGAAAATGCTATGCTGCTCGAGAAAATCATCGTTGATCCTTGTAGTCAGAATGTCCATCGTCACAGGGTGGCACCAGATGAAATTGCAAGAAATTTCGCTAAGCTCCAGCTTGAAGGTGAAGTACCTCCACATATTCAGTTGCTGATATTGTGAAAGTAAGTTAATTACGAAAATAATAACAACAACAACAGCAACCCAGTATAATCCCACTAGTGGGGTCTGGGGAGGGTAGTATGTACGCAGACCTTACCCCCTAACCTGGGGTAGAGAGACTGTTTCCAATAGACTCCCGGCTCCCTCCCTCCAAGAACTCTCCACCTTGCTCTTGTGGTTACTCGAACTTACAACCTCTTGGTTGGAAGTGTAGTGTGCTCACCACTATAGTATTACGAAAATAATACTATATGTTATTTAAATTTTTTGGTAGAGAGGAAATGTGGTTTAATATAATGATTGTATTCCTAAGGGAGCTTTATGTATGATCTAATTTTATATATATCGAAATTTGCTCATTTTGACCTTATTTTCTAAGCGGACCCACTAGTTGGCCGTGTTTTTGTAATAAAGTTTTCAGTTATTTGTACCTTATTTGTTATCGTATTTTTTTAACACACCTTATTTAGTAATGCATAAAGTAAAGTTTTCTTTTAATCTGCCTTGTAATACTATTTCGGATTACCTTGGAGGATATGGAAAACAAAAAAAGAAGCAGTTATTTTTTTACAAGAGTTAAGAGAAAGGGTAAAAGAAGAGCACTTTTACAGATATTAGGCTAGCCCGATACTAGTGAAAGTTGCAGTTAGACAAAAGCTACCAGTATCTTTACCAAAAGCCAATGATAACTGTATCAGAGGACAAATACTATCAATTTTGATTGTTATTGTAAACAATTAGGAATATCATTTAGAGTTTATATACTATCAATTTTGAAGAAGTTTGATCAAAATTAGAGCAGATTTTGGTTGGAATTTCTGATTGAAACTCGAGGAGGAAGACATAAATAAGTTATATGCAAATTGTATGTAAGTTGTATGTTTTGACTAGATTTTCTTTTTTGGGGTTAAACAATACCTTGGCCTCTATTGAACCTTGATGTGCAAAAAGTTACATATTAAGTTGTTGTATGGAAGTTGTATTTTTTGACTGAATTTTATACAACAAAAAAATTGTATATGTTGTATATTTTGACGGGACTTGTATATATTTCGTAGAAAAACTCTAGCTCATTTTAAGGTAAAAAATTAGTTTGTATGGTTATTTTTCGGACCGCTTATTAATATTTAGTCACCATTTAGAATACAACAACAACAACAACCCAGTATAATTCCACTAGTGGAGTCTGGGGAGGGTAGTGTGTACGCAGACCTTACCCCTACCCTGGGGTAGAGAGGCTGTTTCCAAATGACCCTCGGCATCCTTCCCTCCAAGAACTCCTCACCTTGCTCTTGGGGTGACTCAAACTCACAACCTCTTGGTTGGAAGTGGAGGACACTTCACCATTTAGAATGTAATTAAGAAATAATTACTTTTAATGTATAAATAATATATAGACAAAAATATTCTTAGCTAAAACAAGGAACAAGTCGAACACTCCAGCACATATTGTGTTGTGCTGGAGTCAAAAGTTTTCCGACACCGCTTGCATCAATGCAGAGGCGGAGCTAAGATTTTAAATTATTGGGTTCTAAATTAATAATTTATATGTATTCAATGAATTTCGTAAGACAAATACAGAGTTTGGATCAAAGTTGTTGAATTCAGCCGAACCCATACACGAAGAGCTAGCTCCGCCCCTGCATTCTGTAACTGCCGATTCAAACGACATAATAAACTCTTCAGGCAATGCTTCATTGTTTATTTCTACTAATCCATTATATTTTATATTTTTTACTTCAGATAAAATGCTTAATTATTATGATCCACCATGATCACCTTCCCCTAAGCACATGGAGATGAGTGGGAATACAAAATTTTGTTCGATGATCTCTAGAAGCAGTTAATACTTCACCTAATAAAACTAATAACTTGTTTGGCTAAGCTTCTTTTTTTTTTTAGGCAAAAATACTTTTTTTTGGTCAAAATTATTTTTTTTTCTAAAATTAAGATGTTTGGCCAAGCTTTTGAAAGGAAAAAAAATGCTTTGGAGGAAAAGCAAAAGCAATTTTGGAGAAGCAGAAAAAAGTAGTTTCTCTCCAAAAGTATTTTTTTGAAAATCACTTTTGAGAAAAATTACATTTAGAGCCTGTTTGACCAAGCTACCAAAAATTACTTATTTTGAAAAGTACTTTTATTCAAAAGTGCTTTTCAAAAAAGTACTTTTGAAAATTAGCAGTTTGTGTTTGGGCAATTTGTTTGAGAAGTACTTTTCTCAAAATTTGATAAGCAAATTGTGTTTGGCCAATCTTTTTAAAAAGTACTTTTGAATGTCAAATTACTATAAAGGACAGTAAAAGTTTGTTTACAATTAGCATTATTTAAAAAGAGAAATTTTAAATGTTTATTATAAAATAATTTAACTAATTTTTATTTTTATGTAATTAGAATATAAATTATGGATTTTAATCAATATAAGATATAAGTATATAAATGCAATAATATTGGTAGGAACATATATGCTTACAAGTTACTTGTATGAAAAACACTTTTAATTCATGAGAAAATAACAAACTAGTCAGTATTGCATTATGTCAATTATATTATATGCATTTACGTAAAAAAAAAAAAGTACAAATAAACTATAACGGGAGATCATATAATATTGGTAAACTATAAAAGAAAAAAAATTATACCTTATTAAGAAAGTGCTTGAATCTGATGATTCGCCTTGTTATTTCAAATAGTAATAGGAGATGAAGAAAAGAAGAAACAACAAAAGAGAAAAGAAGAGATCTATTTATATTAAAGAGAGAATTTCAAATAGGAATAAGAGAAGAAAAATAAAAATACGGTAAAAATAGACACAAGAAGAAAAGATGGTAGAGATAAATAATAAAAAAAAAGTAAAGGTTAAATTAATAAGGGATAATTTAGGAAATATAATTTTATGGTAAGGATATTTTTATCTTGAAAACATTGATTTTCTGCATCTTGGAAGAAGGTAAAATTTGTAGCTTTTTTCCAAAAGCAGAAAAACTGCTTCTGCTCCTGCTCAAAAGTACTTTTCTATTTTGGCCAAACACCCCATATTTCCAGGTTGGCCGGACAGGCTATATATATATNTATGTTAATCTATTGACTGGAGATAAAATTTAAGAAAAAACTATTTTCGAGCTTGTGATTTTAGGCATATCATGATATTATGTGACCGTAAAATCATGTCATTAAGAATTAAAAAAAATTTAAAAGTTAAATTATTTTTAAATATAGAACAATGTAAAAATTTTCGGAATAATTACGTCACGACAAAGAGAGTAGTAGCCAATAAATTTGTAGCACCCTGAAAAACTTTGAAGTACTTAAGAGCTATTAAGAAAGTTGACGTGCGCTAATTATATTATTTTGTGTGCAGACGAGGACTATTAATTTGATGGATATCAATTGGATATGATAATATAAGTCTACGAGGCATATTATAAGTGATGTGGGGTATAAGAAGAGCCCTAAGTCTAAGTCAAGTTGGAAATTACATGATGGACTAAAGTTCCAAATGAGTGCGCACAAGATAAAACTTTGGACGAGTATATATATATATATATATATATATATATATATGTAGATATGTGATGTAAAACCTATCAAATGAAAGATCATCTGTAACGACCCGACTTGTCGTTTTAAGAATTAACGCCCCGCTCAGTGACTTAAGGTCTCGAGAAGTTTCGCAATGTGTATTATGACCCGCGGGTGTGGTCGAGTTTGATTTTCGAAAGATTCAGAATTAAATTAAAAGAACAGTTCTTATTTAGAAGCTTAAATGGAAAGAGTTGACCGGCGAGTTGACTTTTGAACAAACGACCCCAGAATGGAATTTTGATGATGGCAATAGATTCGTATGATGATTTCGGACTTAGGCGTATATTCAGATTTGGATTTGGAAGTCTGTAGGACAATTCGACGCATTTTAACGAAAATTGGAAAATAGAAGATTTTTGAAAAGTCCAACCGAAGGTTAAATTTTTTATAACGAGGTCAGATTTCGATTCCGAAAATTTGAATTGCTTCGTTATATCATTTATGACTTGTGTGCAAAATTTGAAGTCATTCCGGATTGATTTGATATGTTTCGGTATAAGATATAGAATTTGAAAGTTCAAAGTTCATAGATTTTAATTTGAGGTGCAATTCATCGTTTTGATGTTATTTGATTTGATTTGATGTTATTTGATCCACAAGGATCAGGATCAAATGAATGCGCATTCTCTTTCTGGTAAGCGAAGATATACTTCTAACCTCTCAGTAACCAACGATCAGGCGAGGCAGAAATTATTTAGTTCGGATTTTTCTGGTAAAAAAGAAGATAGGATTCCTGATTATTCAGACCTTAATCGAATTATATGTGCTGGTCAGTATAATCTCGTATATTCGCCTATTCTCCACGAGAATTCTGATTTATTGTCAAAAAGGCGAAGAAATAAATTCATCATTCCACTACACTCGATTCAAGAACTCGAGAATGAACTAATGCCCTGTTCAGGTATCTCGATTGAAATCCCCGTAAATGGTATTTTCCGTCGAAATAGTATTCTTGCTTATTTCGATGATCCTCGATACAGAAGAAAGAGTTCGGGCATTATTAAATATGGGACTGTAGAAACGCATTCAGTCATCAAAAAAGAGGATTTGCTTGAGTATCGAGGAGTCAAGGAATTTAGGCCAAAATACCAAATGAAAGTAGATNTCCATGAATCTAGAAAAGAGGATTGAGGGTTGGAACAAATGTATAACAAGAATTCTTGGAATTCCTTGGGGATTCTTGATTGGTGCTGAGCTAACTATAGCGCAAAGCCGAATCTCTTTGGTTAATAAAATCCAACAGGTTTATCGCTCCCAGGGGGTGCAGATTCATAATAGGCATCTAGAAATTATTGTACGTCAAATAACATCAAAAGTGTTGGTTTCAGAAGATGGAATGTCTAATGTTTTTTCACCCGGAGAACTTATTGGATTGTTGCGAGCAGAACGAATGGGGCGCGCTTTGGAAGAAGCGATCTGTTACCGAGTCGTCTTATTGGGAATAACAAGAGCATCTCTCAATACTCAAAGTTTCATATCTGAAGCGAGTTTTCAAGAAACTGCTCGAGTTTTAGCAAAAGCGGCTCTCCGGGGTC